TGCTAATGGTAAGCGCTAAACACAACTTAACATTGGATGCTTTATGGCCTTATGTTGTGCATTTGTTTTGCTATATCAGTTTAACGTATGAATATGCTGCTTAGTTGTTATCCATTCTTTAAGTAGTATATGGAAATTGATTCTCACAATTGTACACAAATTCATGTCTACATGTGTAGTTAAACATGCTCTTGTGGTTGTTCTATGTAGTTAATTAGCATGCAAGTTTCAGTTTGAGGATGGCATCCGAACCAGATAGTAATTGTCTTTGCTTTATGAATCTTTATCAATATTCTTTTCTCATATTCAATTAAAGTAAGGTTCTCTCCCTGTATGCTGCTTCTGCACGATGACTATCCGTAATTGTTGACATGGAAATTTCAGATAAGGTGGTCAGAGCTGAGTGGAAGAGGTAATTTTTGCGCAAAGAGTTGTTTTGCTGAAGTTCTCATGGAGTTCAGGCATAGATGCAACTAGATAGTAATTGTTTTTGCGGAAAGAGTTGTTTTGTTGAAGTTCTCATATTCAATTTGAACTTTGTATTGGGGATATAGTGTGCTTGGTGTATGTTTCAATGTCCTCGGCACTTCCAGGAGTGTAGATGGGTAAATATTTTTTTATGATATTGTTGGTTATTTGGTTTATTTTGGTCCTTTTGTGTTTGTATGTAGAGATGCACAGAAGCCGGATTTCAATCCAATCCGGATCGGATAAAAACCGATCCGGTTTTTTCTCCCAATCCAAAAACCGGATTTTAAAAAAACCGGATCGGATTTTAACCGGTTTGGAGGGTTGGATGGTGTAACTGGTGTAACCGGTTTCGTTTTGCAAAAAAACCGGTTTTTTTAAAAAAACCGGATTTTTTCGGATAAAAATCCAGTTTTTTTAAAAACCGGATTTTTTTCCGGATAAAAAACCAGTTTTTTATCCGGTTTGAAAAAACCGGTTTTTTATCCGGTTTGAAAAAAATCGGTTTTTAATCCTGTAAAAAAACCGGTCGTTCAATTTTTTCCCAAATCGGTTATACTATCCGGTTTTTAAATATCCGATTCGGTTTAAAAAAAACCGGTTTTTTCAAAATCCGGTTTCGGATATTTTTTAGATAAAATCGGATATTCGGATTTTTTGTGCACCTCTATTTGTATGTATAAATTTTCACGACAAGCTTATATTAACAAATCAAAAAGAATAGTTGTTGAAATGCCTAACTTTTCACGAGCAAGTTCCAGCTCATTGAAGATAGCGGAAACACAGGCAATGTCACTAGAAATAGTTTGTTTTAAGAGTCGTAGAGTGGGGGATTGGGAGATGGGAGCCCTGAGACAACGGCAATGGCAAGGCAACGGCCTTTGATATCGAGTCGGTGGAGTTCAACATGGGAAGTAAATTGGAGAGCTAATTCAGGGGTTTTGTGGAGATTAAAGATGACGGATGATATAATAGATGGGTCGAGGTTAGGTGAGTAGTGTTTGATGAAATGCCACTGAGAAGAGCGGGATGCCTCGACAAGTAGCTCAGGGGTTATTTCTGGTGATGGAGATTGTGATTGGTGAAGAGAAAAGAGCAGACGGCACAGGGTGTCGATGGGGGGAAATAATAAGTGGTTTCAGTTTCTGTTGTTTGAGGATTTGAGGAGCCAGAAGTTTGTGAGCTTTCATGTTATAGAAAGTGCAAACCCGTTGTACCGTCTTGCTCCGGAGAATTCCGCTTGTTTCGCCGGTTATTTGAGGTACCGGCTGGGACCAAAACTGAAACTTTGAATCCCCTTATCTTTGAAAGAAAATACACAGAGAGAGAGAGAGAGAGGGAGGGAGCAAGAGAAGAACTAACGCTAACACGGAGGAGAGACGTTTTCTAGTGTCTGTTAAAGGAAACATGCACTTGTAAAACCATTCTAATCTGAAGCGAAGGAGAGAAGAAGCGGCGTAGAGAACTTGGGAAAAGATGATGAACAAACGCACAACAGGCGCACTGAATCAAAATTTTGGCTTTAAACAAATTGGGTGAACTACACCAAAGTCAATTATAAGTTTGATATAAACATCACTTTTTTTCCCAAAAAAAAAAAGTACAAACAAGTCTCTCTCTATATTTTTTTATTAATCTAAGAAATTTATTTAAAGAATATTCTCAACCATTTCGCATTAAACTCTTGTACTCCTGACATTTTTTATGTTTAAACTGAAATCTCAAAGAATAACAACAATTTATTTATCACATGATATAAGTTTTAGCCTTTACATTTATATATTTATCAATTTAATTTTAATTCAAAATAACTTAATTTTTCACTTCTAAAAATCTCTATCATTAAATTAAGACACTCGGACTGTTTTTATTTTTATTTTTATTTTGATAAGGACACTCGTACTATGCAAATACAGTACAAGGGCACACATACCTTAAAAGTAAGGGATTGCTCAACTATCTATAAATTTCTTTTTGGTTCATGAAGATTATCCCAAGTACTCACGGTGTTATATGCTAACCAAGAACTCTGTTCATAGTTTACAATATGTTTAACATCATATGCATCAACCCTGTAATTCACGATCCACATTCAGACAACTGATTCATGATCTTTGCATCACCAATTAATGTTACCACCAATCTCTCTAGATAATATAACTAAACTCTTTTAAATCCATTCATTAAAGCAATCCAGTTACTTCAATAGGGTTTAGCTTCAACAAGAAACAAATCAAACGGGGAAAAAAATACTCGGAGTTGATATCTGTATCTAAGATGTCGGCATCTCGAAGCGGCAGATAGGACAATAATGGCTGGTACGCAGCCACTCTTGGATGCAATCACCATGAAAAACATGCTCACAAGGCATCGAAGAAGCGTCGGATCCAACCTTGAGTTGCTCCAAACATATAACGCAATCTTTTTCTGCGGCTTCTATCCTAACCTTGTTTAACATCTCGTTAATTGATGATTCTGCAGCTGGAATCATGTACTCATTGTCATTCCAATACAGCAAATCAAAACTGTGTTCAACAACGAGTGCTTGTACCTTTGATATCAGAGGCAAGACTTGGGAATTATATCCTAGGTCAAACGCCCTTTGCGACATTCTTAATCCGCCTTCACTGATATCACGGATCAGCCAACGATAAGCATCAGTGTCTGTGTTGAATCGGAGACGGTAAAAGAAGGGATGGAGAGCTCGGCCGAGTTGACTCTCGTTTCTCAGAGTGTTGAAATCAAAAGTAAAAGTTACTGGATCCAGGCAACGGTTGGTACGGTAATAAATGTTTGTGGGACAATCATGGTACGAGTACGACAGACGGAGCTCGATGGTTAGTTCCACCAAATCATACGCCATTGAAACAAGTTGAGATTCTGGGATGATCCCAAGACACTGCGGTAAAAGATACTAAACTCGGAAGCCAAACTTGAGAGGCAAGTAACTAAGTCTGACTCGATTTTTGGATTTTCCAACTCTCCTAATCCTCTATGGCTATTTATAAGAAGAAACAATGGCGGTTTAACAAATAGGGAACTTGATTTGTTAGGAGGACTAATTTCGATAGAATTTATTAGGTTATTAATTGTAGGCTCCGATCGAATTTATTAATAGTAAATCCCATAATTGCAAGAAAGCTAAAGAAAAAGTGTAAAAAAGAAATCAATTAATTTTTTTAGTCTAATTAAATCTTTACCGTTAACAAAAGCATCAATTAAAGTAATTCTCCCAAGTCAGGCTAGGGTTCCAAGCATCTCCCATAATATTCATAGAATCATAGGCAAAGGCAAACTAAACGGAAACCCAATGGATGGAACAGCATGATCCCACTGATCACCATGGCTCACATTACTCATCATGATGCTCCCTTGCATTTTGGGCGGCAACATCATCCCCGATAATCTGCCACCAGAATGTAAGCTATCCAAGGCCTTACAGTAATGATCTGGAGCATGGAAGACATGAAAGTAGATGAAGCATGGTCAATAGATGTAATAACGCTAATGAGGTGTCCATTTGACATGATCTCCAAGGTCCTGCAGTAGAAATACCACTCTTTCTCGCGTGGATCATACTTTTACATGTCGAGTTGCTTAATGAGCTTCATTGAGAGAGGATGCCGTTGAACTTGAACCTTTCTTTTCAGATAAAACCCTACAAGTTGTTCATCCGTTGGATGAAACCTGAACCCGGGAACATTATTTCTTCCATTCATCCATTCTGAAAGTTGAATGCAAAAGAAAATAGATGGAATGTTTGAAGAAGGATAAATGAATGTGTCTTTTCCTTCACCTAGGGATTGCTTTGAAAACACTACATAATTCAGACTCTTCAAACTCATGCAAGTTGGAAGTTAATTATAAAAGGTAAAACTGTGTTTTTCATCACTCAATTTCCCCATATTTTTGTTATAATATCTTAATTATAAGAATCATAATTTAATCATTGAATTTTTTAATTGATTTTGTTTCGATTACTCGAACGTTAAACAAAAAAATAACATGGTGGCATGCACTGTTTTTTGCTGGTAGCATACACTGCTTTTTTGCTGACGCAGAAGTCATGGGTTCTTCATTTTTTTTTTTAATTTCATTTTCTTCCCCGACGATGAAACTTTAAGAGTGAAAGAACTCAAAACATGCAAAGTGGGTAGCAGATGAAAACGTGATTTTGTATCTTTCCCAGTATAAACAAAAGGAATATCATGGTTTCTAATTATAAGACATCTTCCTCACATGTGCTTTTAATGCATATGAGCAAAATATTTATTCTTCAGCATAGGGTAGCATAGACGAATGAATCATTTGGACAAAGCCCTACGTTCACCGCAGAGTGACAATAAAAACTCGAGTTTTCCTCAATGAAGTTAGTGCAGTGTGCAGGGGGCAACAGTTTTAGCAGATTAGCAAGCATTTTTAACCATGTCCATGAGTTTGTCTTCGTCAAAGTTACACAATTCTATGTAAATAGTTCCACTGGAGAATCGATGCTCATACTATTCTTTTGTTTGTTGCAAGTTGACTGATCAATTTTACACATGAATGTGATTATAACATCCATGCCGCTTGGTCCGACATTTTACACAATAACAAGGAATCTATTTTTAAAAAGCAAACCTGCATAAAGCTTCATTGTCCAAGCCATCAGCAGTTGCAAAATCTCAAATCTTTATCAAGTTGCTTGTAACAATTCCTTTAGGTCATAACCTTGCAACTGCACAACACAAGAAACAGGAGATAAATCGGTTTCTACTTTCTCTTTTATGCTAGGGAGGCGAAATTTTAGAAAGGAACAAACTTATAAAATTCCAAGGGGGCCAAAATAGATTTTCAATAGAAAATACAAAGAAAAAAAATCTAAAATATATGATAATTTAAAATTTTCAAGGGCGACTGGGCTCGGTCCATCCATGCCTGTGACATTTATGGATGCCTAGTCAAAATCATGGTCACCTAGCAAACTTCTATATATCATTTGTACTGAATATTTTACCTGAAGAAAGGTAAGAAGTAAAATCACACCCGAATTCCAGAAAGCATGGATTGTGATAGGAGTCACCAGATTGCGAGTTTGAGCATATGAAAATCCCAAAGCAGCCCCTACAAAATACCAAAAAATCTGTTGGTTTGACGCCCAGTGAAAAAGTTCATTGTTTGTATGCATTTATTTAGATGTATTTTATCAATTGTGAAGAGTGAACTCGAGCAATGATTTTTATCAACAAATCCTTTTCATATGTTACCTAGTATAAATAACTGGGGAAACTCTCCGGGAGTGAGATGTGCAAGTGCAAATGCAGCTGCACTGATAATTACAGAAACTGGCGTAGGAACCCTGAATTAAGAACAGGGGAAAACATCAAATTGTTTATTTCTGATAAATAAACTTTCACACTCGACTTTGTAATTTTTAGCCACTCACATATCTTAGTTTGGATAAAGTGAAGGAATAAATATTGTTTATTTTGAATAGTTATTATTTCTTACTTGTGTTCTTATTCATCTTTCAAATATCGAGTTTAGATTTGTAATAATTAAGTTTTTCCCCTTGTGTTATTACTTGTGTACCAAACCTAGCATCAAGAAAGAAAAGATAGACTTGTTTAACATATACTTCATTATCTTACAATTAATAACCCTAAAACGTTCCAAGCAATCCTTGTTTCAAACTGAAAAGATTTCATCCTACAAATCCTACTCTGTATCTACATTTAAATGACCACATGTACACTTTGGTAATTAACATGTCTTTCTTACTGACTAGATCCACCTTCTTCTAGTGTTCTTAGCCTTTATAGAATATTAGAATTCATTACAAAATCACTTCCTGTTCTTCCATCACCCACCCCAAATTAATTTTTCTATTATCTTGTCAGCAACTTATTTTTATAGGGTGAATAACATCTTTGAAATTAAGGGTGTGTTTTTTGTACCAAGAAAATGCTTTAAGTCCTTAAAAATTGCCCAAACTCCACAAAGTTTGTCAAAAAATGGGAAAGTTACTGTTCACAAGTTCTAATAAGGCAACACAGCCAACAGAGCTTCATATAGTCTATCAAGATAGGGACAAGTAAAAATACCACTTTGTCAGTGATGTCATAAAAAACCCTCGAAATACTGTCTCCTCAAGAATTGGAGCCAGAATACCTGTGACGCCCACCAAGCAAGCAGTGCTACAATAGTTATCAACCTGATCAATTCAACTGGAATTTCACATGCATAATACTCAAACTTATAAGCTACATATCATCCAAAGTACCTGATACTCGAGGATCCAATCAACGGAAGCAAGCGAACTAAAGCATCAGTCTGGAAAAAAATATAGCCCCAAAAGTTAATAAAGATTCCATTATGCTAGAAAGCAAATGAAGTTAGATTATATTGGTTTTAGCTTCAAGAAGACAGTAACCACTCGAAATTCCTTAGAGAGCAAAGTCATCTAGCTCATTTTCAAAAATTTAAAAATCAAAACAAACATGAGTTTAATTTACTTGATTATCCCTTTGTTAATAACAAATGGTTTGAAATTATTTCTAACCTCCCTTTGAGATTCCTCGCCACGAAACAAGGACATGGCAGCCCCTGTTAAACCAATAGCAATAACAGCACCAGCAAGACCAATCACTGCCCACAAGAGCCATCCTTTCTTTAGATTGAAAGGTTCTTTCAAATCTGAAAGGGTATACCAAACATTAGATTGAAAATCTGGAATGCAGCCTCAGAGAATTACAGTCAAGTTTGGCTTTAAATCTTTATTAAACCTCTACCTAGTATCAACACAAGTTTTTCAGCTTTACCATAAAAAACATTCAGAAAGGTTGATTAGCAGCCTTTCATGCAAATGCTCATATGAACTAGAAAGCTAAAAGAATGAGAAAATGCAATTTCGAATGTGGACTAACTTGACAATGCAACATTTTCTTGTGCAGAACTAAAGCAATTAAGAGGTTTGCGGAAAAGATACCATAGCGGAATAGGTATTCAGGAAGGGGCCCAAAAGTGTTGGCTATACCATACAAAACGCCAAGCACAACTATAGTTGTAATGCTGCAAAAAAACAGCAAACAAGAAGTGAACACTTTTAAAACTTAAAAAAGCCCCCTACGATGCAATTCCATCAGTCCAGGCTGTTGAAATACATAATAAAAGCAAGACAATCAACATGGCATAAACTGAAAAGTAAAGAAATTATAAAGCAAGTTCTACAATTCAGTTCTATGAGGAGAATCTAAGTTTCAACATAGCTCGCCAGAAAATGAAGTAAAGACTTACCCTTAGAAGTTAGAACACAATGTAAACAGTCAGAAATTGACTATTTGGAAATATTAAACTAGCGATGTTAATAACTATTAATTACAAATCACTGTGGACAACATCTACAATAATTCAGTGCGGTGATACTACAATTCGGGGTAGTGGTAATGAATACCTTTGATCCACAAACAGTATCTCAGCCTTCTCGTCCAAATTTAGTGTCTCGATATTAATTCCTAGATAAGGTATAGCAGCCGTCTCTAACAATCCTGTCAAGATAAAACTGCCTGGGAAAGTTTTAATTTCGTTCTTAACCAAATACAACAAATAAACAATGGCTAAAACAAGAGAGAGCATCATTTCAGAATCTTCATTTGAAAAGTGAAGTGAGGAAACCTTAAACCACAGGCAAGTGAAGTTAATGAAACTGTTTGCCACTCCCATGGAACCTCCCATCGCTTGAGTATCGGCCACTCAAGTTCAGTCTCTTCCTGGTATTTCAGAAAAGAAAATTAGTGTTTTACAGGTTTTGTTTGATTGTTTGGTACAAATATTTTACCTTTTCTGGGAAATTGGAATTGTCTTTTCGGCCATTGAAGAAGCAAAGTGGAAGCAGTCTCCTCCGAGTAAGCATCGAAGTAATAGTGGGGAACTTTACTCTGTTGGGAAGAATGGCGGGCCGAGTTTGTTTGGCGAAAATTCTGGGCGATGCAGAGAGACAGCATTGAGCTGCACTAGTAATCATCGTCCCAACCATTGTTTTGGTTGGATTCAAAGTTTCGACTCAATGATTTCGAGCAACAGAGCAGAGAAACAGGTGTTGGCTCTCGTGAAGTAGAGGATAAGGCTAGTGGTAGTATGGTTTAAACGAGACATTTGCTCGAAACCCACTCCATTTGGGCCCAAAACAATTTCAATTCCATTCCTCGGATAGCCCAACCCAGTAACTCGTATGATAAAAACATCAGTTCGTGCGACAAAAGTGGCCAATAGGCCAAAAATTAATCCATTACGTTATCTCCAAAATTAATTTGGAACCGAGGCAAATGTTATAGTGCAAGAAAAATTTGTTACGCTCACATAACAAATTTATTAAAATAATATTTTTTATTTAAGTTTGTCATGTTAATGTGATAACCTCCAAAAAAAATATAATTTTATATTAAAATTTATCACATCGAAGTGAAAAGTTCTAATAAAAAATATATTTAATTAGAACTCGTTACGTCAACGTGACGAGTTTCAAGTCACTGTAATAAATATCGTATATCTTAAATTAATTTTAAAAATGACCTAGTAGACTAATTTTTTTTACTGGTGTGGTCTGTTGGTCAATTTTACCCAGTTCGTGCTGCCGATGTATTTTTCTCTATTCTTGCTCAAGAAGTGTTTATGATATTATAGTTTTTTATTAATGTTACAGTTTATTTTAATATACAGTATACCATATACTAGAAAGTTATGAAATAATTTATAAAGAAAGGGTTTCGAAAAATAAGACGAGGTGAATAAATAAATATATATATATATTATAAAAATATACCAATATTAATAGGTTATGTGATACTATTATAGGGGTGTTTAAACGGGTAATTCGGCTAATCAACTGAATTGAATTATCTAAATTTCATTAACTGGTTTTTTTCTCTTTAACCGTTATCTGAATTGATTTTTTCCAAAAAAATTATTCGAACCGAACTAAATTTGGTTAATTGATCAATTAACCGAATTAATCAAAATTTATAAATAATATATATTATATTTAATATTTTTTGGTTTATTCGGTTGATTCGGTCTGTTAATTTCGAGTTTAAACACACCTAAAGGTAAATAATATATAATATTAAATATTTAATAATTTCAATTAATTAACTGATTTTAAACCAAATTAACCGAAATCGAAATTTAAAAAATCATTAACATTTAACTAACCTAACCTAAAATTAATTTACTGAAATTTCGGTTTGGGGGATTAATTCAATTTTAACTTAATAATGAGCACCCTAGATACCAATCCACCAAATGGAATGGGGGCATCGCGGGGAACAGTTTTGTCAGTGAAACATTTCTTCATGTCTCTTAATTACTATTTTCTCCATCCAGTATCTAGCGTTGAGATATATTTATATAATTAAGAAAGCAAACATAATTATCTATTTCAATCCCTCTATTCTAATTTTTCAGAGTTTGATCCTCATAAATTAATATTTCATTTTTGAAAACCTTTTACAATATGTACACAACAAAAAGGATTTTCTCATACGAAATATAGGGTGTTGGTAAATTACCTTTAAAGACCGATAGATCAATATGGGTAAAGGTCCCGAAAGAAATCTCATGTATTAATAGGGATTTAACATTTGGTAAAATAAAGCCAAAAGGTAAAGCTTGCTTGAAAGACTTTGGTAGCCAATAATTGCCCTCTCTTTTCGACATCACCTGCTTTCTTAATAACTTGAAATCTTTGCCCCAGACGTTAAACTTTTTTTAAAGCTGAAACCAAACCAATTATGAACTTGTTAAATCTCCGTCGTAATCCACCTGGCTGCCACCGTATTTTTTCATCTTTAACACCAACACCATTCGATGCGACTCACTCATTCATCAGTCGGTCTACGGTTACTCTCAATGACGGTGGTTCATTCACAGCCTCAATTTACCTCGTCGTCTTCTCTCGCTCGTCGGTGGTTCATTCACAGCCTGTCTGCCACTCCTCCTCCCGACGCGCATTGCGCAGCCTGTTCTCATGCAGAAACGAAGAAAAAGATTGGGTCAATTCCACTCAAATTATTGTCTGAATTATATAAAATAAAATTTTAAGGTGTCACCTAAAGTTTTGTTTCAATAGTTTTTCGAAATATGTGAATCCGGCTGCAATCTAAACAGTTTGATTTAATTTATTAATAAAAAAACAAATTATTTATTAAAACTATTTTTCAGAACACATCAAATCTACATAATCCTTTAAAAAAACAAATCTACATGATTAATATAATAGTAAATATTTAATGCAATCGGACTTACATATTTTTAATATATTAATATTTAAATTATTGACGAGACTGATAAAATCATTTTATCCGTATTAATATCATAAAAACTAAATTAAAAGCATTTAAATTTAAATCGATAAGGAAATATAAAATTAACCCAAAAGTATAGAAAATGAGGCATATTTAAATTACCAACCTTTTTATAAAAAAAATAACTTTTAGGAACTTTAAATATTAAAATAATCCAGCTATCAAACTAAATGCAATACGACAGACAAAGATAGAGAAAGATTTGCGTTTTCGAATTTCTTGATAGCTCTTTATCGCAATCCAGTCCCAATTAATAAAGCCACGTACAGAGCACAACGTCTTCGTGCTTTATTTTCCTCTTCTTCATCTTCATATTTGATTCTTTTTCTTTTTACTATAATTGAGAGGCTTTGGGGTTTTCTCTCTTTCCAGTGTTTTATTTACACGTATCCTTCCGTTCACTGCTACAAGAATCCCCTCAACTTCTCACATCATCGTTAAAAGATTCAATTTTGTTGACCATTTTGAGATCTTGAACCATTGATGCCATTGGTGAGTTATCTGACATTACTTTTCCTTCGATTAATCATGATGTTATTTTATTTTATTTTTTTGTTTCTGATTTAAAGATTTTTTTATCTTTCTTCTTCTTAAGAAAGAAAGAATTTACTCAAATGAGCTCTTGGCTAGTTCGCGTAAAACCAAAGTTAAATCCGCTGATCTTTGTTTTTATATACATATTTAGACGTTAAAGAGTTAGCTTTATTGTTTTACATGTTGCAGGTTAATATTTAAAAAAAGAAAAAGAAAATGGCACTGAAACCGAATTCAGCTGACGCTAGAACAAGGAGTTCGATTCAAATATTCATTGTTGTCGGATTGTGTTGTTTCTTCTACATATTGGGAGCGTGGCAAAGAAGTGGTTTCGGTAAAGGGGATAGCAAAGCTTTAGAAATGACCAAACATAGTGCAGATTGCAACATCGTCCCGAACTTGAACTTTGAAACCCACCACGCCGGTGAAGTTGGTAACTTTGATGAATCCGAAAAGCCCAAATCTTTCGAGCCCTGTCACCCTAATTACGTTGATTACACGCCTTGCCAAGATCAAAGGAGCGCCATGACTTTTCCCAGGGACAACATGATTTATCGCGAGAGGCATTGTCCCTGAGACGAAGAGAAGTTGCATTGTCTTATCCCAGCGCCTAAAGGTTATGTGACCCCGTTTCCTTGGCCTAAGAATCGTGACTATGTGCCTTATGCTAATGCCCCTTATAAGGCTTTGACTGTTGAGAAAGCTATTCAGAATTGGATCCAATATGAGGGTAATGTGTTTAGGTTCCCTGGTGGAGGAACGCAGTTTCCCCAAGGGGCTGACAAGTACATCGATCAGCTTGCTTCGGTTATACCGATTACTAATGGGACAGTTAGGACTGCACTTGATACTGGTTGTGGGGTATGCCATGCCTTTCGAAAGTTTTTCAGTTGATCTGTTTGCTTGTACTCTTGGAGTGCGTTGCTCTGTGATCTATTTAGATTTTAGGTACCGAGTCTAACAATTGGTCCTTTTTTGTAGGTTGCAAGCTGGGGGGCATACCTCTGGAGTAGAAATGTTATTGCCATGTCGTTTGCTCCTAGAGATTCACATGAAGCACAGGTTCAATTTGCTCTGGAAAGAGGCGTACCTGCTGTTATTGGCGTTCTTGGAACCATAAAGATGCCGTATCCATCTAGATCTTTTGATATGGCTCACTGTTCTCGTTGCTTGATTCCATGGGGAGCAAATGGTGAGTCATATATTCTATTAAGTTTAAAAAGTCATGCTCTTTTGACTAGATTTTGTCCGTTTAGGTGTTGCTTTAGTGAGAACTCTGTATAGAAGAAGTTGAGTAACTGATCATCATTATGGTTTTTCTATTTGCAGATAGAATGTACATGAAAGAGGTTGATCGTGTTCTTAGACCTGGTGGTTACTGGGTACTTTCAGGTCCACCAATCAATTGGAGGAACAATTACAAATCATGGCAGCGTCCCAAGAAGGAACTTCAGGAGGAACAACAAAAGATTGAGGATGTTGCCAAACTTCTTTGCTGGGAGAAGAAACATAAGAAGGGTGAAATTGCCGTTTGGCAAAAGAGGGTCAATGATGAAGCTTGTCGTGGTAGGCGAGATGATTCTAGTTTCTGCAAGGCTGGAGAAGCTAATGATGTCTGGTATGGATTGTGCTTGAAAGTTTTAAAATCATACAATTTGCAATAAAAAACAGTATTTCACGTCCTTGTTTAAGTTACAAGCAGTAGAACAGTTGCGAAATGGTAAAATTGCAGTGAAGTAGATTGCATCTGCTCTGGCAGTGTAGCTTGGGTTCAAATTAGCTTCACACCTTTTCACTTATGTCATAGTTTATCTTGTCAATTGTACTAGACGTTGCCTCATTCCTGCAAGCATTAGAAGTCAAAACCTGCAATGCATGTCTCATGACTTGGAACCTATGTCACAGGCCTAGCAGTTTAGCAATTTCATTAAGCCTTTAAACCAACTGCAATAATTATCTTCTGTTATTCTTAAGCAAGCATGGGATCCATATGTTGGATCCGAAACCTATTTGCATTCCTTTCTGAGTTCTAAAACAAATTGATATATTTTTACACTTCATATTGTATGGGCATTGCATTGGATCCCAGTAAGCTAATTCATTTTTGTTCTTAAAGTCATTTTAATCAATTTCTCTTGTGATGGTTGTTAGGTACAAGAAAATGGATTCATGTGTTACACCTTATCCAGATGTTAGTAACCCCGAAGAAGTCGCTGGCGGGAAACTGAAGTCATTTCCAGAGAGACTATATGCAGTGCCTCCTAGAATTGCGAGTGGAAGTGTTCCAGGAGTTTCTGTTGAGACGTACCAGGAGGACAATCAAAAGTGGAAGAAGCATGTTGATGCTTATAAGAGAATCAATAGGCTTATAGATTCTGGTCGGTATCGTAATATTTTGGACATGAATGCTGGGTTGGGAGGGTTTGCTGCAGCCCTTGATTCTTCCAAATTGTGGGTTATGAATGTCATGCCCACCATAGCAGAGAAAGATACACTTGGTGTCATATATGAGCGTGGATTAATTGGCATCTACCATGACTGGTAAGGCTTACTGAACTTTATAGGTAATGAGAAAGAGAGGTAAAAGGAGTTGCTTTGCATATATCATTTTGAAACGGGAGAGCAATCAAGTAACGAAAGAGGATCAAAATTTAAGCTATATAAGAAACTAAACCTAGATTTTTACCTTAGACCACTCTGGTTCCCTTAATATGGTGGCATAACTTGAACATGGTTTGATTGTCTTCCTCTGGTTCAGGTGTGAGGCCTTCTCCACATACCCGAGAACATATGATCTTATTCATGCCCATGGTCTTTTCAGTTTGTACCAGGAAAAGTAAGTATTCCTAATTAAATTGTGCATTTCAGTACTTTTGAGCATTCTATTATATATGAATTCCATTTTTTTGGCCTAGTATTGATTGGATTAAGTGAGTTCACTTTTAGATGTGATTTGTTTTACCATACTTGTGAACTTTGCTTATACTCTGTAAATAAAGCCAGGAGTTTTTTGTTCTCATGCTTTTGCTCTATTTAACTGCATTTTATTATGATTGTCACATTCGAATTGCAAATGCTCGCTTGATGCCTATATACTCCCATAGTCTGTATTCTGTAAATTCTATGGTTTTTAAATACCTGTATAGAGCTCGTCATTTTTAGATCTAGTTGACATACCATTTCTTATCATTTGAACTTCATATATTCAATCCAATGTTTGCAGATGTAACCTGGAGGACATTCTATTGGAGGTGGACCGAATTTTGCGTCCAGAAGGTGCGGTTATAATCCGTGACGAAGTAGATGTTGCAATTAAAGTGAAGAAGATTACAGCAGGAATGAGGTGGGACACTAAGATGGTTGACCATGAAGATGGCCCTTAGTTCCTGAGAAGATATTGGTTGCTGTTAAGCAATATTGGGTTGCAGGTGGAAACTCAACAGAAGCACAGTGATCGGCCATGGGGAGCAGACTTGGAAACCTTGTGCCATGATCTGCTGCTGATGCTCTCTGTTGGTAACATGATTCCGATTAAATTTCTGGCCTGAAAATTTTTGCTGAATGACTGTTCCGGTGTTAGGGAGGCAATTTCGGTAACAAAATATGGATTGATATGAATCACGGTGGGTTGGTTTGTATTAAATTATCAATATACAGCTATAAATGCTTATACGCATCCAAAGTTGCATTATATTTTAGTTTTGCAGAATGTTGGATGGCGTAGTTAATGCACGTTTTCTTTTCTGTCAACGAGATAAATAAATTCATTGCAAAAGATGAAAGATGTTTTCACTTTCCCTACCTATTGAAGTGCCATCCAAGGAGATGTCGATGAAAGCGGCTCCCCCGTACTTGGAATTGGGAGCCGAAACAATTCATTGAATATCGAGAGTAAAGGGGAAACTCATGCAACTCCAAAAGTTGAAGACACTGAAAGTAATTGTAATGATATGGAGTATGGATTTGTTCGAGATTAAGAGCTTAATGGGGAAGCCGAATCACTGCAAGTCAACACAGAGTTTAAAATGTTTCCAACCACCAAAAATCAACGTTCAAAGGCGACGTCGAGTGGGGTGTAACAGCTCGAAAGATCTCTGGTGACGAGCATAAAACAAACCATGAGGGAAATTTAGAGCCGAGAACACCATGCTGCGGCCATTGCTTCCGAGCCTACATGAACACCATGAGTTCTGGCCACTCAGTCCCTTCTTATGACTAGAATTTACTACTATCTCCTACTGTCGGCTGTCTCCTACACAAAGTAGCATGTTTACGACCCATTCGTGATTTCATAACAAAGTATGCAGAACTAAAACACTTCATTTTAACGCAAGTCTTGACATTAAATCACGAATCCGATTGATTTTAGATTCATTTCTCCTAAAAGACCAAGCTTTATTCTTACTAGTAAGTTCATGACAAATCTGACCCCAATTAAATTTACAACTTTGCAAGATTCATATTTCCAAAGCAAAGCAATGATTTTTGGCCTCAATTAATCCTTGCTCTCCTTTATAGGCTGCAATTTGAAGCCCCCTCCTCCTCTTTTCTCCACCCTATAATCCATATATGTCCCCAAGATTTTGTCCCAAAAGGGAAAGAAGGGTTGAGCAAAGTTATATTTGCCACCGTAGAGCTGATGATGCACGTCATGATACGCAACATTGTTCTTAAACAAGAACTGAAAGGGATTCCAGGGGATCCAAAATCCGCTATGGTCGTCCACCGATTTCATGATGGAGATGGATGAGAAAATGGCCGATGTCATCGGTGACATCCCTGATGCGTAAACAGCTAACGGGCTGCCGATGATGTCGAAGAGAAACCCTTCTAACGGATGACTGTAGAATGCACCGTATGCATAGTTAACAACCAGACGATGATGCTTGGAGTGCAAGTGTTTGTACAAGAACTTGTTCTGGTGCAACCATCTATGAACGAAATACTGGTAGGTATCATAAACCAACAGCGAGATGACGATCTGCCGAGTTATAATGATAAGAGAAGTCGACTGCCCCAATGAAGCTCCGGTTTCGGCATCGACGTTTCCTCTTGTCACCTGCATGAATCAATGGCAATGCCAATACAAATGAATGAATAACCCAAAGTTAGAGAAGATTGATGCGAGTACGAGTATGATGATACCATATGCAACAGATTCATAATGATGGTGGTCAAGAATTGTTGACGGAGGACACCTCTGATGACCGTTCCTTTGGATACTAAATTCTTGTTATCTCCATCTTCCTTGGGGTGCAACCTATAATTGTTGAACAAGTTCCCTAGAACAGTGTAGAGTCCTGAATAAACCCAGTACACAACGATGGGGATCAAACTCCCCTCCACCATTTCCTTTGTTATCTCCAAAGCCATAGCACAAGTTTAGAGCAGCGGAAGCTTTTCAACTTTTCCTCACCATTCTTCATTTTATAACTTAAAGAGTGTACTCATGGTCATGGGTCCACAAATCTGACAAATCTTCTATTTGGACCAATATAGTTATCGTTATATGAATAAAATAATCAGAATTTAGATCTTTATGTGTCAATTGTAAATCTATCTGCGTCGATCCACGTTAGTCATGAAGGATAAAAAATTCACGTTGGCCCAAATAGAGAAGTGTTCTAATCATTTCACTATACAACAAAATGCACGAAACTAACTCTTAGTGATAAAAAAATTATTGTTATTTTTTTAGATTTTAGATTCGAGCACTAAGAAGACTAGGAGTATTAACGGTCAATGTCAAATGATTGAGAGATATCTTTGAGCATATACTACATTGTATTTACCCAAATTAATTTAAAAAAACTATACAATAAAACACTTTTTATGTCAATTTTCTCTATTTCAAGAAAAAATAATATTGGTTTCTATTTTAAATTTTAAGTATATGATTTTTAAATGACCGTGTTAATCGGGAATGTCTAAGGAAAGACAGCCTAATATAAGGCTAAGAAAAATGTATGTGTTAACCAGGGATGTCTAAGGAAAGACAGGCTAATATAAGTTTAAGAAAAGACGCTACCAGAAATGTTATTATTCTTTTAACATTTCCGGTAGAGTACTAACTAAAATGTTATTTTTTCTACCGAAAATGTTAATATCAAAAATATTCATTTTAGGTAGCGAAATTAACATTTTCGATAGAAAAAAATAACATTTTAAGTATCGTTCTATCAAAACGTTAAAAAATATTAATATTTTTTGTAGTGGCTTTCTTTAGCCTTATATTAAGCTACCGTACAAGAAAATTACCCGTGTTAACCTCGACGAGGTCCAATACAACTATTACACTAATCAATGCTAATAATTGTTTTGAAATAGTATCATCATTTCTAATAATACATGGCCATACAAATCATAATGGGTAATGAATCAAGTTAAACCTTTTAATAGTATAAGAAGAAAATATGTTAAAAAAAAATTAATCGTTGACAACACACAAACATAATTACTTGAACTCAAGACCTCGAGAGAGAATAGCATTTCCCTTAACTACTAAATTTTCAATCCAATTGAACTTTTAAATAGAAAGATAAAAAATGTATATGGAACATTATAATAATATTAATTAAATATTTGATATCAAATCTTTTATCATTGTTGTGTGAATGATTTTGATTAAATAATGGAGAAAGGTATTAGGTATTTTGTAGTCCTTGTCTGACCCAAAGTAAGAAAGATATGCGAACTGTGAAGAATCCAAAGACGGCATAAATTATTCAGAAATGGAGCAGAGTTGTTGGCAAATAATTTTCCGAATTCATTGTTAATGGCTTCTGCCCAAAATAATTTATCTTCCAAAGCTGTCGTTATTGAACATTTCCATTACTCATAAGTCATACACCCAAAAAAAAATTCATTATATAAAGTTTTTAAGAAAAATATATTATCCTACAATCGTATGCTAAACGTTAGAATATAGAGAAATTCATAATTTCGATGCTCAATAATAAATAAATATTTCAATGTCATAAAACTTGCTTGAGAATGCTAAGAGTGGTCCGCTTGCAAGGTGCTGAAGAAAATGCACACTGATAAATGCATAAAAGTATCAGTTATGTCGGTTCTTGTTGAGTTCATCTTTTGCAGAGATTTTTTTGTTTTTTCATTACCTTCTGTGCTCTTCTTGTTAGATGACAGAACAGTTGGTTTCCATTCTTCATCAACTTTCTCTGCGTCCTTTCGCTGCTTGTAACTCGAAAACTGCAAGAAGCTGCTCATCATAGCTCTATAGTACTTAACGTACAAGAAAACAAATTAATGTTGTTGTCAAGAACAATATTACAAATTAATGTTACAGAAATTGTTTCACAATCAAATCACAATGCTCCATATCTAGAAAACTATGAAACCAACTTTCATCCAACATTCAGTAAACTAGTTTTATAGATGCTGCAGTATTACCTCTGCTCCATCATCGGATAAATAACCACCATCACTGAATTTTCTTTTCTCAGACAGATCAAAGCACGTTTCAGAGAAAACAATTCCCCATGTGTTGAAAAAAGCATATGATATTAAAATTGTACTGTAAATGGTAGAGCATCAAAAGCATATACATAGATGGTTTCCAATTCAATGGCAAGTCAAAATGGACAACTACCTCGGTTTCCTTTCGCTTCCTTGGGATTTTTTCTCTCATTTGAGATTCCAAAAACATCATGGCACAGATCTTTCATGGAGGTAGAGACCTGTATCAAACGTTCCAAACAAAAGCTTAGGGCACTAAACATCTACAAATTAACAATGGATTAGATTACATGTAGGGAAAAACCATATTACTTACACAAGAAAATTCAGATTCAGAGGTGCCACAAACCTCAATCAACCTAACCTTATCGATCTTCAGCTGTAAAGTAGATATATGTAAAAAATAAATAATGGAATAAAAACATTTGATGGAATGATTAGATGTGTATTACCTTGTGTTTTTTAGCACACAAGTAAAATGACACGGCAGTAAGCACTGGTATGGTGAAGTCTGCGCTCGCCTGCCTGGAAGAAGGCAGTGATGCCATAAACCGGTCCTTGTAGCTGACAAAAACAACAGTTAAGTCACTCAAACAGTTCAAAGAATGGTAAAAGAAAAACGTTAGCTTTCATCTGATGATCAAACGAAAACCGACTTGGATTTGTAAACCTAACAATTATGAGTACAAATCATCTAATTTTGGGATTTAATCATTCAGACATTATTTCAAATATTGAGATGGAAAAGGATCTTACAGAGATAAATCCTTCTTCACAAAAGGGATGAGCCTAACGCATCCAAATTGAATCCCCAATTCTCTAATATCCAACATTGTTCTGAAACACCAAAATTTCCCCAAATCAGTCACAATCTGAGTTCAGATATAATTCGATTTTACAATGCAAAGAAGAAACAAGGAAAAGTAGGAGAAACCCACTTGATATTTAGACCGTTCTGCAAGGAATTGAAAAATCTAGTGTAAGCCTTTTCTGACACTCCACTCAATTTGACAGCCTTTTGCCTATCAAATATAACCTCACAAAACCTACAAACCTCTCCCTACAAGCAGAACAAAAAGGGAAGGATGGAAAATAATGGATTAACACTTCAGATTTGAACTTCAATGGGGTTGAAGTAATAGGTAGTTAGAGGATGCAGTACTTACGACACCGATAATGGATGAATCGAACTGCACATCGCAGAGGCGTCGGAGTTTCGCCGCTTTTCGGACCAGCATCTTGTGTTGTGAGAGATCAAGCTTTCTCGCTATATCTGAAAGATCCATATTGGCCCCGAACCCGTTATTGGATTTGCTTTAATTCTTATATGATTCCATGGAAAACGGAGAACTAAGTCTGTGCTACTTTTCTTTATGAAAAATCAGAAATGCACGAAGAAAGATAAGTGGCAGAGTAGGCTAGAGAAGCTAAATTCAGGCGTTTTTTTTTGTTCGCGCCGTTCTTTTCCCGGTAATTCATTGGCGCCAAAATATATAATTGCACTTCATTTCTTCTTCTTCTTCTTCCTCTTTTTGGATTTTACTGCTTTCTGTAGGATTCCCCCCCCTTTTTGGTATGATTGTATAGGATATCCATTAATCATGTAAAAAAGCTATAATTAATGTATATTAGGTACAATTTATGATCATATTTAAAAAAAATAAGAGAAATGTAGATAAAGATAAATTATTTAAAAAATGGGTTAAAATCAAGATCAATTCAGATCATCAGATGTATATAATTTTATCGAAGTCTTTTTTTTAAAGTGAAAAAAATGATGTCAAATGTCGATTTTTTTGTAATTATTTACACTATTGGTATCAATATATTTTGACGTAGCATTTTGAGTATTTTAAATTTTTTATATTTATACATATTAATAATGAAATGTATAGTTTCTTCAGAAAATATATATCATATGAATACAAATATGCATCTACGTATATTTAAATACAAATTTTAAATTAAAATTATTAATTAGATTTTTAACAACTTAATTTAATAATTATAATTTAATTAAAATTTGTTTTTAATGCAGTTATAAGTATATACTCGATACAAGCCAATCGGCATTGACACATATGACCTTGGAACTAAAACACAATGAATGAATTCGACTTAAAACAACCAATGCGTAGGGTAACAAGGATAGTTAATAGGCACTTGCTCTGTCCTTGGTTTTAGTTTGCTAGATAGCCTATCCAAATCCAAGTAAAGGCTGGCTGAACTAAAGATAAAGGGCCTGTCCTTAGGGATGTGAAGGAGCACAGATTAAGCAGTGCAGTAAAATAGCAAAAGCATCAACCAACACATATCCATTCAAAGTTCAAACAAAATGGAGCTTGCTTGCATCGTATGTAAAACAGATTTTAACAACTGGGGTACAATTTCATTCGCCAACACTAACCTTTTTCCAAAAGAAACAGAGAGATCTATTGAAGCCCCGTCTTTAGGTTAGGCTAGATACCGATACAATTTCCTATCACTGCTGTCCCTTTCTAAGAATTCTCGCTCGATGAGAGACTCGATTCGTTTCTTGATCTCCGTTGGATTGACCAAGAACCGCGACTGCAACTGCTTTGTGACCTCGGCTATTACGTTGTTATGATCCAGCACCCTCCTCGATTTCATGATCCTAACAACTGCAGCTTCGATCTGCGGTTTCCTGTCCTCCTCCACTCTTTGTCGAGTCTCTAGCTTTTCGGGTTCTGATTCCTTTTGTGCAACCACAGTTCCAATCTTCACTTTGTAGAATTTGCTTGTGAACTTGTCGTTGACAAAAAATGCATCATCGGTACCAATATCTTTACTCATGGGTTCCTTCCTTAGAACATTCTTTCCCTTAACACAGGCCATCGATTGCAAGCACCTTTTCAAGTCTGAAGCAGGGATTTCAGTAGCTTGTTCGATCTCCTTGTAGCTAAGCATATCAGCATTGTTGAAAAGCATCAATACACACATTTGGTATGTTGAAACATTCAACTCATGCTTTTGACCCTTTCCAAAAGTGGCTTTTATATCTGCTGTCCCCATGTTAGTTTGCCAGGACAACCTCCGACCCGTATGGGTTCCGAGATAATATGACCGGAACTTCTCACACAGTGTTGCCATTTCAATGGGCAGGTTGCAAGTGATAGTAGGCTGAGTGGGCCAAGACCCTGTCGTTAGTACCTGAACAACTAGGGTAGGGCCATCTTCTAGCTCAGGATGGCTGGTATAAAACCATTGCATTGTGTCCTGTGAGGTTTTCATGTCTGTAAACATGCCTTCTAATTTTGAAGTAAACTGATATCCACATTCTGTCTTAAGCTTGACTATCAGACTTCTCTCTGCGTCATCAGATACAGTTTTTCCCGACAAAAGCCGCTTAGCTAAGTGTTGTTTGTAGTACTTTTCAAACACATCCTTCTCCTGCAGGTAGCGGAACAGCATCATAACTTTATCAAGAATTATCTCCACATCCTCCTCACTGACTCCTTTCAATCCTTTGCGAAGCTTATCGTCCACAAACAAGGAAATGAACTCAGGAGAACGAGAATTCAAGTTAATGAAATACTCAAAAGAGGAGTTCAGGGCATTCTGGAATGTCTTGGCATTGCTAAATGCTTGACAAATGATTTTATCATATTTGTCCCTTTCATCCAAGAGCCGCTGGACAAATTCCACTGGATCTTTCGAATTTTCTGCATCGGTAACCAATTGTTTACCAGTTTCTCTAAGGTGAGAAGTCATCACATCTCGTATCATTGAGAGACCGTTAAGAACTCTTTTAAATAAATTGTACATTCTACCCAAGTCTTCATACTTGTCATCAATAATCATATTTACCAAGCCAGAGTTCTCCATGTGGACTAGTCTCATCATGTGGTTAGCAATCATCTCCTTCTCCACCACATTAATTATCTTGGCTTCACTCTTGGCATCCAAATAGTGAACAACTCTCTCGATTTCTTCATTTAGACGTATCTCCGCCTTTTTCAGATAGTCCCCACAGTCACAGCACTCAATAAACTTCTGAGATTCAACCTTATAAAACTCCACAGAAACCTCAAGAAATGGCTTCTCAAAATCCTCCTGGTAGACAGAAGAACCCAAATCCATAAGCATCTTGATTATATTCCTCATCAAACCCCGGTCAATAACTTCACCAGTTCGCTCTCTGTGCACTAATTCAAGAAGCGTGCTCAAAAGCCTTGACTGTATTTTGCCTGAATGTATGATATTATCCCTCCACAAGTTAAGCCCAAGCTCATGAACAGGGGTTTTACGGGTATTTGGAATATAAGTCCGATCCATGTACATCAATATGTCTCGAATCATTTGCAGTGCCTTGTTGTGGTCATTCCATTTCCTGTTCAACTCTTCGAGAAACAAATCACCTTGAGCAGCTTCTATAAATTTTAATACTTCTTTGAGGTGTGCGGTCATAGTTGTAACAAGTCCAGAGTAAAGTTTCTCACCAAATTTGTGCAAAACCATATTGTACGCATTCCTGAATTCATATAAAAAAAGTCAACATGTAAAGAAAATAACCAAAATTTAATTAGCTGACGTGAAATTTACTTGGGTGCCAAAGAGAGAGATCTCACTCTTGCAAGCACATACAGAAGTTCAGCGCAGATGCAAACTTCCTCTATAAACAACTATGGGAAATTAAGATACAAATATCTGAACTTACCCTAAACTAGTTTTGAATTACAACTTGGACAAATACTTTCTAAAGTAAACAACAAAAGAAAATATTCAAATATCATTTGCTTGTTATAAAATACAAGGACAACAAAGAAAGCGTAATAGTCATTTGCTAATTGCCACTCGAAGCATAATACCAAAGAAAGCTAGTTGCTACTTGCTCTTTGCCAATCAAACACATATCAATAGTCGTTTGCATGCAAGCGAAGGAAAGAGAAATGAAGAAAGAAGCATAAATACAAGAAGAAGAAAAGTCAGTTGCAACTCAAAACTAAAGGCATGGGGGCGAAGAAAGAAGAATAAATACCACCACAATAAGAACCTTTCTTCACCTTTTCCCATCAAATTTTGTTCTTATAAAAATTTCGGGGTGAGGTTTCAGAGACATAAGATCATCCAGGAACGGGCAATGCTATTGTTCCCAAAATGAAAGTTACTGAAACAACACCTAGAATTGTTTAATTAAATCTCTTCATGCTGGTTACCTTCATACTGGTCTCTAAAAGGTATTTTCAACAACTTCGTAACCTAAACCAATATACAACCTAACCTATCAGATGAGAAATTCTTCAAAGTTTCAAGAAATTTATAAAATGTTTTTCAATAACTCAAATCCAAATTCATTTCATGAAAACATATAACGTTTTTCATCAAATGCATAGCAATAAGCAACTAAATTGAAACATCAAATTACAAAAATTTAAAAAAAAAACAGCAGAAACCTGTAAAGCTCTTCGAAACTGAGGCCACTAGCATTATGATTGTAAATCTCATGGATTGCATGCTCGAGAATTTTCCATGTCTTTTCAGCATATTTCGGATCCACCACGACCCGGTGCTTAAACGCATCTATCTGGAAATTCTTTTTCTTTTGATTACTCATTTTCTTCCCTATTTTCCTTGTTAACTTCAAAGCCCAAATATAATCCGAATGAAAACCCGCCCGGAATAAACAGATTTAACCCCTAATAAAAACAGAGGATCTACGAAACGTTTGATTAACAAGAAAAAAAAAAGCTATTGGCCGATAAATTTCGCCTTCGTATAGTAGCGCGAGGTTAGACGATTAGGGTTTGAAAATGGTAAGATTAATTTCAATTACAATTGAGATATATGTGTAGAGATACGGATTTGAACAGTATTCCCTAAAATAAATGAAACTAATAAACAGATAATTAGGAATAAATTTTAGTTATAATTAAAAATATTTATTTAGTTTGGGATACCGAAACGAAGATACTGCTGGGAGATAAAAGAATACTTCGCCCTCTTATGTTACAACGTTATTATTTTAGGTACCATATCATAACGGCCATTAGGTGACACGTGTTATATTTTGGTAATTTTAAAATTTTAATTTAAAATGAAAAATGAAAATATATTTTGAAAAAACCAAAAATTTCAAACAAAAAAAAACTTTTAAAAAACTTCAAAACTTTGAAAACTTCAATTACAATCCCTAAACCCACGGCCGAGACCGTTTGACGTCGATCGGACCTCCACCCTATAACAAACCACGCCAAATTAAACTTCGGTCAGTTATCAAATTTTATTGACACTAGATATTTAGTATAATGAGAGGGGATGCAATACTATACTATATTGTCAACATATTATCAAACATGTGATCACATATTCATGGTCTATCTTCTCCTCTATCTGCTAACACAATCTTTTTGTATGTGTTATGGGACTTGCATTCAATGTCTAAATTGTTATTGGGACAATAAGACTTTTTATTTATGAGAACTGTTTAAATGATGTAACTGATGCCTGATTTCTTTTGAACTTTGTTGATTTTATAAGTCTGTTATGATTGTGTTTTTCTTTGATGTATGTTTATGTCATTTTCTGATGTATTTTATAATTCATTATTGCAATATGTTCTGTTTGTGTTCTTTTTTCTTTCTTTCCACTTTAACTACTAACTACTTTGATTATGCGTTTTCATCAAATGTTGTCTTTGATGGATTACAATGAATAACAAATTGGGCATCCGATGTAATTAACAACATCACAACAATAAGAACAAGTTGGCAGCGCCATTGGCTTCTCGACGAACCCACCGAGTGGAAAACTACGAATGGGGGTTCAACTTGGACAGGTTCAGAAAGGAAAAAGCGAAGCACTGATAAATACGAGTGTGGATGCTCCAGTTGTTGAACCACTGATGCGAAATCGCTTTCGATTATAACTAATGGCAAACACAACTCCACCGCCATGCCAAGACCATAGGTAACTGCTTGAGACTCAACCACTCCAACATCACGCTGTCCAGGTAGACACAACGCACAACAGGCAAGAACTAGACCGGTACTGTCACGTGCAACAATGCTAATTGCCGGAGGACCCGAGGACCACGAACATTGATCTCGATCGAATCAGGGTGTAATTTTACTTCAACATGCCTGCTGAGGGGAATGGATGAAGTTTGCGCATACTCCAGTGGCATAAAACAACTAGAGGTCACCAGGTACCAATCAGGCAACATTGACCTCATCTAACAAAACATTAAATGATATTCTAAATATATTATATATGTCTCATTCAACTTGTTGTAAATATTAGGTATTTATGTATTTTTTTTCTTTCTAACTTTATTATTCATCACAACTAAATCTTAAGTTATTACACTCACTTTACATTTCAACATCACAAAAACTAAAACCCCAAACAAATACCCAAAAGCATTAACTTAAAAATCTTAAAACAATCCAGCTATAAAATTCTAAACCAATGTAAAAACTGAAATTGATAAAAATTTAACAAAGATATATTTTATGAAACACATCTTCCTCCTTTTGTCATACAATAATATAAAGATATATTTTATAAAACACATCTTACTCCTTTTTTTCATACAAGAATATAAGAATAAGACGTATCACATATATTACATTTTATAGAAAAGTTTTTGTAATGAAATGTGCCACCATCTTACATGACATAAAGTGATATCATTTTCATAGATGATTTAAAAAAACGTTATATATATATATATATAAAATACAATGAAGGCTTAAAATCATAAAACGTAAACTAAACACAAAATTATGACATTTACTACGTCCATTGACACAAGAAACTAATCATTTAATATTATACAAATATCATATAAAGAAAATGTTAAAACTCGAATAAAATATAAATACGAGCATTAATAGACGAATCACAATAAGAGCTTTAACTACTGAAAGACCACCGACAACCTTAAGTCAGAGTCGAAGTATCATGAGAAAATTATGTCCAAACGTAAACTGTGTATTCAAATTTAAATCTGATGATCCAAAACAAAAAAGACCAACATGATAACAAATAAACGACATCTTAATCTATTGAGGCGACGTTAAATACAACCTTAGAAAAAATCAAAATGACCAAATGAAGATGAAAAGGTCAAAAAAGTATTAGAATATTATAAAAAAAAAATCATAAAAGTAGAATTATTAAAAATTGAAAAAAAAGACTACATATATGAAAGTGAAAGAAAAATAAGATATATTCATATTAAAATTAATGTCATTGTGGATCAAACAAATATGAAAGCAAAAAAGGAGGCCAGCGATGATGATTGAGAGGAAATTAGGTTAGAAAACGTTGAATTTATATACTTTTGAATAATAAAACCTAAATTACAAGATTGATCAAACCAAATTATTTAGTAGTTTATTTTATTTGAATATCATATTATGGGCTTGCATGCTTAACGAGTTTATTTCAAAGCACAACATCGTCTATCCCATGGGCTCGTTTTTTCAATCGAAGTCCCTCTTTTACCCTCACAAATAAGCTTAAATTCCAAGCTGAGATGGCGTAATTCAAACGCTCCCCCCAGACACACATTTATAAAAGCACCGTACAAAAAAAAAAACCGCGCATTCTACAAAATTCTCCGCGAAAAAAACCGGACCTTTTTGTTCTTCGCCTCTTCTCTCACTGGAACTTTGGTATTCGCCCATTCAATATTATTGGATATTTTCAGTAAAAATGTCGGCAGATTTATTATCTGAAAGGCCGTTGTTTGGTGGAGCAATCTCAACTTCTTTTCCTCTTAGGTTTCAGGTTACTCATCCTCCTTTTCATCTCATGCTTTTATCACAATTTATGACTAATTCCCGTTTTTTACATTGTTCTTTATTGCAGGATGTTATTAACGTCAGACAAGTTCCCGATCATCAGGTTAGTTCACCGTTCTCCGTTATTTTTGTACTTTTTTTAAATCCGTTTATTTAGCTGATTGTTTTTCATTTTTGAGTGAACTAAAGGAGGTGTTTGTGCACCCTGCCCGTGATGAGAGCTTAATCTTTGAGTTACTAGATTACAAGCATGAAGTTGGTGATGATGGTAGCGCTGTCTGGTTTCTTCGAGATCTCGCCATTGAACAAGAGGGTGAAGGATTCGCGGTAATCTTTTATGATGTCTTATGGTAGTTTATCGATTCTATTGTAGTTAGGATATTGTAATTTGAAGCAATCGTGTATTTGAATTAGTTTCGTCAAGGTACTCTATTTTATGTTTGTTTTGATTTTACAGATTTAGAATTTTTAAACTGAAGAAACGTTGCATTTCCTATAATCGAATTCGTTGGTTTATGGCACTATTACGTAGCTTTTAGTAAGACCTTCGAACTTTTATATATTTTCTCGTCTAGAATTAGTGTGATGTTTAGTTGGTGTTTGTTCTCCTGTATTTCTCAACATTTTTAACTTATTCTGTTTTTTCTTCTATTACACTTATAATTACTATTTTTTTAGATAATGGGATATATCCTACAAAAGAAAATGATTGGTTCTGCCTATATGGCTATACCACTGTTAAAGTTACTAAAATAATTATGATACTGTTCTTTATGATTCTCTTTCTTACTTCACCGGGAGTAGTTGATGTTGGAGACATCCAGAAAATTGTTTTCGCACATTACATGATTTTCTTTGCTTGGTAATTGTTTGAGACTTGATATGGTTGTAGGCCTGACATTTCCTCTGTTGCTACATGTTTCAGTTGCTTGAGCAGTCAACAGTGGTCGAGGCTCCTGGGTTGTGCTACAAAAGCATTCCAGCCATTGTTACAACTGCAGTTGGCCAAATGGTATGAGTCATTTAGAAGGGATTTGCCTAGAGTATTCATTTCTCTATTGTTACAGCTGCAGTTGGCCCCTATATCAGACTTGATTTCTCTTGGTTAGAGACATAACAAATACTTTTGCTTTATTGTTATCAGGCTGTAATTCCATGACTGTTAAATGGTTGTATAGTATATTGTCGGGATGGTACATTGTTTCTTGGTTAATTCTTTCTTAAATTTTCCTCTCGGAATTTTTAGGGATTGGTTGTGAAACTTGGAAGCTTAGGCTCAGCTTTGTGCTTGATTTGTAGTTAGGAAACAGTAATAACAACTCTGCTGTGTTGTTAATCCGTTTACTAGTTGGACTGTTTTATTATGAGCATGGTTTTTCTTTTTTAAATAAATGATCAAATTGAAGGTTGTTTGTGCTAATGCTTGACTATAGCCCTCTCCTTGATAGGGAAGCGGTGGCGGATTGATGAACGTTGCTCTTGTTGAAGAATCAAACCTAAAAAAGCTCTAGACTCGATGAAGAACAATAAGAATGAATGAGGAAGGTGCGGCAATAGCTAGGATTCTTTAGGGTTTCTTTTAGTGCTAGAAACAAGAAAAGAAACAAGATTAAAATAAGATAAACAAAAGATAAAGGAATTAAGAATAGAGAAAATAACCAAGAAATCAAAGATCTCCCTTATGAAAGTGAACGGTAAAGATGATTGATGGCGTGGATGGATGTGGAAAATCGATGGATAATGTCCTATCGAGCCCTCCTAGTCGCAATGAAAAGGCAAACACGATAATATGGCTCTAACCAACCCTCTAGTCGCGATGAAAAGGCAAATTGGAGTGTGAAGATTAATCTCCCTCACAAGAACTTGAAAGAACTCCAGGAGAAAAAGCTTCGAAGGCACAAGGCAATCAGCACTTGCAAAAACAAACTCTTGTTGTATTATTGATCAAAGAAATCTGAATTACAAAGTTTAATAAAGTCTCTTTTATATAGGGGCTGAGTTCTAAAGGTCATAAATAATTAATGAATAAAATAATAATAAACTAAACATATATTAACTCTAATTCCTAATAAAATAATAATAACTAAAGATAATATTTTTAACTCAATCTTAATTCCTAATAAAATAATAAATCTAATCCTAAAAGATAATGCATCATCCTATATTAAGTTATATTACAAATAATCAATAAAAATATTGAAAATTCGTAATATTTACAAAATCCCGTATTAATCCCGTATAGGATTTTCTGCATGCACCGTTTCAGTAAAATAGCCATATCTTGAGTTCCCGATATCGGATTGATGCGATTCAAGAACCGTTGGAAAGATAAAGACAGACGGTTGTATCTCCAGAAGACATCTTGACTAAATAAGATCAGAATCCCATTCAAAAAGTCGTCGTAAGTCTGCTTCTATTCTGATATTCTTTTCCAATGCTTGGACAAGTGGATCATTTGAAAGAGTTATTACTTCTTCCTTTGATGTGAGCCTTGTGATGCATGTATCATCCTCCCTTTCTTCAAAAAGATTCGACCTCGAATCTGAAACATTAAAGGGAGCAACATTAGAATCATTTAATGATTCATTCACATTATACTTACCGAATATATATGCTTTGAATCTTCGAGACTTTGTTCTTCTAATAGGTTCGAGTAGAAACATTAGTCCAAAGAAGCATGTATTATGGACTCTGGTGCATGTATCATTCCCCCACTCTTCAAAAGGATTCGTCCTCGAATATGAAAATCCAAGAGAAAGAGAATTATATTTGTTGGAAGAAAAACTTTGAAACATTTACCAGGATCAATGTGATGTGTCTTTATGCGTTTTAGTCGAGGTTTCTTCTTTGTAGGAATGATTTCTTGTAGTCTTGAAACCCTCTTTTGCATACAAGTCTTGTAATATGATGTTTAGGTTGAAATTCAACATGGTGCTGACCACTGTTGGTTTTCTGTATGATTGCTTCAGATAATTTCTCCATGGTTTTATTCGTGTGTGGCGAGAATGAGTGATTAAAAACCATATCAACTGGTTTGTTAAAGTAATCCCTTAAGTCTCTTAAGTGTAGTTCATGAATTAAAAATTCTCTGGAGGAGATTTTTGGACTGTAGAACCTGTTTAGTTGGCAAGGAAACTCATATACACGATAAAACTCATTAGAAGCACTTTTAAAAGTATGGGTAGAAATATCAGAAATATCAGAAATATCCGAGTTATTATGATATAGATATTTGATATGTTCAATTCTCGGAATATTAATATGTGTTTGATAGGTAAGAGTATACCTTCGTGGTAGTGCATCATCTACTATGTTTTGTTTACCTCGGTCTTTGGACTCCCATAAATTGTGACTCTTCATTGATATGACATAGTGATTAGGGCTTTCAGGTGGTAACCCGTCAGGAGGGTCACCTAATATTATTCGACAACTCTTGGCTATGGAAGATGGTGTGGGCCAGTCTCGTGTTGCTTTTACTATTTCATCATTTACATGGATTTCCTGTGCACGAACTATAAAGCCTGTAGAGTTGTTCAAATCATGCTTCGTCATTATGATGGCGTCACGACTAAGGCTTTCCTGGATGTAGCCTTTTTGTAACAAATCCAACTCTTTGGTTTCTTCGAGATTGTATGTTTGACGAGGTATGATGGAACCTTGAATTAGATTGATTTGGCGTTGTTTTCCTCTTTTCAGTGGTAATTCGTTAGGTAGATCACCTAACACTTCTCGAAAATCCTGTAAAAGAGATGAAAACACACTAAGCAAATCCTTGTTAATGTTAGAAATTGAAACAATTGATTCCCTAAAGCGAACAAGGATGCAAGGTTGTTTGTAAAGAAGGTTCTCTCTCAATTCTTTTGTGCTCACACATAGATTTTGAGTCACTCTTTTCTTCTCACATTTAGGTTCATTCACCTCCCATGGGTCATTATTCTTTTGGCTTTTATAACTAGTGACCTCTTTTGCTTTTGCCTCTTTCTCAACTTTTTCTTTTTTTGCTTTCCCTACCTCCTCACAAATTATCATTTGATCTTTAGGGACTGGAAGTGTGTCATTCTTTGCTGGTCGTTCTTTCTCCTTGTCAGGTTTGTCATCTCTTGGCTTTTTTAGAGAAGATGGAGTAGAAGACGAGGAAGGATTTGAAGGATTACCTTGGTAAGATGATGAAGTACCTAGGTAATGTTCACTGAATTGAGATCTCCTTTGGATTTGTGCTTCGATTGTCATTGCTTTCTTTAGTGCGTCTTCAAGGTTTTCGTACCCTTGTAGATCAAGAAGATCAATGATGTTTGAGTTTAAACTGACGATGAATCTTGACACGGTGACCTCTTCTTTTTCGGTTATGTTAGTCCTATTGAGTAAGGACTGCATCTCCTTGTAGTAATCTTCAACTGAACTTCTACCTTGTCGAAGTCGGTGTAGTCGTTGTTTAACTTCTCGTGTATAATGTGTCGGTAGGAATCGGTTCCTCATGGTTTGTTTGAGGTCGGTCCAAGAAGTGATTGTTGGAATTTGGAAGTTCTGGATCTTTTTCCTTGTTTGCATCCACCAAGTTCGAGCATATCCTTCAAATTGTATGGTGATGAGGTGAACTTGTTTAGCTTGGGGGCAGTCATGGTATGCGAACATGAGATCAACTTTTCCTTCCCATTCGATGTACTGTCTGGATCGTTGTCTCCTTTGAAAGACGGGATCGTGAACTTTGGTTTTGTAAAGAGTTTGGGTGCTTGGAAACGTGGTTGTTCTTTCTCGGTACCAAAAGTTCAGCATTGTTTGGTCTTGGATTATGGTTTGGTAGATCCAGTTGTGGTTCTTGTCGTTCTCTCACGATTTCATCAAATCTTTCAATTTGAGTCGCGAGTCGGGCAAATGTGGCTAAGATAGCCGTAAGTGTCTTGTTGTTAGTGTCGCCCATTCTGAAATCATAACACTCAAAAGAAAATTTTAAAGTAAAATAAAAATAAAAGAAAGAAAATTCAACAAAGCAAGAAACCTCACAAGTCACTCCAAGAAAGTAACACAACGAGAGGCAAGTAAGCCGATCTTGTACTCTTTAAAACTCACTTTACCAAATAGTCTTTCACAGTTCGTATCGGAGTTTGATTACTAGCAAAGGCGATAAGAAAAACCTAAAAGCTCTAAGAGGCCAAACAAAGGTTAGACTCCAAGAGAACGAGAATGCAAAGAAAGAAGAAGTATGCAAACTCTTTAGTCCTACTAACACAAATAAGATAATGTGTTAGATAATGCAAAAGAACAATAACAAGGAAAAACAAAAGAACCTAAAGCACTAAGAGTCAAAGAAAAAGGGACCAAACCAGAAAACCTAGAAAACGCTGGATCAACTTGAGCAATGTTTTTGAGGGGGTTACCGGTGTCCAAAAATTTTGAAAAATTTCTTGAATGTCTTTCGATGCGTCAAGAAACCACCTGTAAAATTTCAGAACCAAATACCTTCAGTAGTATCCAGTAGACTCTGTTGAACAGTGAGTCCTCAAACAATCTGTTTTTCTTGATCACTTTTTTCGAAGTTATTCTTGATCTCCAAAATTCTGATATTTCGTGTGAATGATCTCCAATATATGAAGTTTCAATCTGGAAATTTTCATCACGAAATTCCTCCTGTAAAATTTTCAAGAAATTCGACAAGATTCTAAACCGAATCTGCCGATGAAACTTGAATGATGTATTTGAAGGCTCCAATGAACTCCGATTGGGGTGAAATTTGGACTGGGGATTACTCTTAGAATGAATATAATTTATAGATAAAATCAGCCCTAAATACCTTCGTTTGTATTTTTTTTTTGAAATTTTAGCTTTTTTGGCTTTTTTTGGCTTTTTTTTGCCTTGTTTTTTGTTTTTTTGAAAAAAATAGCAAACTAACAAGAAGGATTTAAATCTAAATTAAAATTAAATAAAAAGAACCTGAAACGCTGAATCGTTTGTGAACTAGCTCCGTTGGGGTACCTTGACGGTTTTGTGTGCAAGAACAAGCAAGATTGCTTGTTTCTCTCCAAGAATCGGCCCAAATCTG